TAGCTTGTAGGGTTTCTGCCAAGAGATCTGCTGTTTGCCCAATGGGCTTCCCTTTGTGGGTGACCTGACATTTCTCTCTGGCTGCCCTTAGAAATTTTTCCTTCATTTCAACCCTGGTGAATCTGACAATTATGTGCCTTGGGGTTGTTCTTTTTAGGAATATCTTTGTGGTGTTCTCTGTATTTCCTGGATTTGAATGTTGGCCTGCCTTGTTAAGTTGGAAAAGTTCTCTTGGATAAAATCTTGAAGAGTGTTTTCCAACTTGGATTCATTCTCCTCATCACATTCAGGTATGCTGATCAAGCTTAGATTATTAGGTCTTTTCACATAATCCCATAGTTCTTGGATGCTTTGTTCAATTTTTTCACTGTTTTTTCTCTAATCTTGCCCTCTCATTTTATTTTATTGATTTGATTTTCTATCTATGATACCCTTTCTTCTGCTTGATTCAGCTGTTGAAAACTTGTGTATGCCTCACAAAGTTTTTGTGCTGTGTTTCAGCTCCATCAAGTCATTTATGTTATTCTCAAAGCTGGCTATTCTAGTTAACATTTCATCTAGCCTTTTTTCAAGGTTCTTAGTTTCTTTGCATTGGGTTAGAACATGGTCTTTTAACTCAGAGAAGTTTGTTATTACCCACCTTCTAAGCCTGCTTTTGTCAATTTGTCAAATTTATTCTATGTCTTGTTTTGTTCCCTTGATTGTGAGGAGTTGTGACCCCTGGGTGGTGAAGAGGTGTTCTGGTCTCTGATGGTTTCATCTTTTTTGGTGCTTGTTTCTTCCCATCTTCATGGATTTTTATCCCTTAGATCTTTGAAGTTGATGATTTTGGGAGGAATCTCTGAGTAGATGTCCTTTGTTAAGTTTGGAGCTATATCTTTTTTGGCCTGTAGAGGCAATGCTGGGCTGCCTCAGATTCAGTCAGGCTGCTGGGTGGGTGGTCCTCCCCCGGAGTCTGTTTGCAGGTGAGATTAGCCCCACCTTCCCAATGGCGTCTCTCCTTCCCCACGCTCCATCTTCACAGACAAACTGGTGTATTTGCTGCCAAGCTGTCTAGTGCGTGGGCTTCAGTTTGAGTTTTACGGGGATGGCGCCTGCCAGGCCTTATGGCCTGTTTCCCTGCTTTCAACTCTGCCTCTTTCTGTGGGATGGGTCTGTCCCACTGGCATTTGTCCGAACTTCTGCCCAGGTCCATGCCAACAACTTGCAGCACCAGGCAGGAGCTGTTGCTCAGATATGCGACAACCCATGGCACCCCTCAGTCTGGCAGGGATCTTGTGGACTGGGTTGCAAGAGGGATGAAGTTAAGCACAGGATCTGAATTGGAGCACCAAGGGGTTGAAGTCCCTGACCCACCAAGCTGGCTGCATGTTCCAGGTGGGGACACATCCTGCCCTGTCTTGGTTTGCCCTCTCTGGGTGGCTCTCGCCCTGCTTCAGCTCCTTCCCTGGGCTATTATTTTCAGTGTCCTATCAGTCCCACCAAAAAAAACCTGGCACCTAGCTTGGAATCATGAAGTCCTTTAGCCCTCTGCATCTCATTCACTGGGAGCTGATTCCAGTGTTGCCTCCTCTCAGCCATCTTGGGGCCCCACAATTTGTGTTGTTTTTAAACCACTTGTCTTAGTTCATTTAGGTTGTAATAAAATACCATAAAATGGGTAACTTATGAACAACAGAAATGTATTTCTCAGTTCAGGAGGCTGGAAGTCAAAGATCAAAATGCCGGCAGATTTGGTGCCTGGTGAGAGCCCACTTTCTGATTCATTGATGGCACCTTCTACATGTGTCCTCATATGCTAGAAGGAACAAGGGAGATTTTGTGGGCCCCTTTTGTAAGGGCACTAATCCCATTCATCAGTGTTCTACCCTCATGACCTAATCACCTACCAAAGGTTTCACCTCCTAATGCCATCACCTTGGGAATTAGGATTTCAACATAATGAATTTGGGAGTGGAAGGCACAAATATTCAGACTATAGCACCCCTAGTTTATGGTAATTTATGATTACACAAATACAGTATGTTAATTAAGCTCTCTCAGCCTCAAGATCTATATGAATAAATGAGTATAGCACTTTCCTTGGCTGGTTTGTTCTGGGGAATGAAATCTGTGATTTAGGTGAAGGTGCCCAAAAAATTTCATCAGTTAATATACCTATTAAGTTACTAGTAATCCATGCCTGCTTTAGGAAATATTATGAACTTCAACATCTAAAATCTTCCTGGTGATGCTTTGATATGAAGAATATCTACAATCTTTTTATTCAGGGCTCAGATAATGACATTTCCCTCAAGTGTGGAACACTGGCCAAAGACTGTTCTGATTGTTCAGTTCTGGGGTTTAAATATTCTGAATATTGATGTTTCCTCAAGACTAGGAGAAAGGGTGTGCTTCATCCTAGTGCATCATGAAAATGATCTGAGAGAAGATGAAGCCCATTAGGCAGAGCAACTACTGTTAAACAGCTTAGCAGAGAAAGAAGAAAAAATTACCTTCCTGAAGAAGCAAATTCACTGAGCCCAAAGAGTCCATGCTGACTTAATCATAGGCAAAAATCATTTCATTTGCAGGGCCAGCTACATGAACATGCAATCTGTGTGGTAGCACAGTTCCTCGGGCTCAAAGGGCCCCAAAGGTGGTTTAATGCTTTTTAAAAATTATTAATAATTTTTTAACAAGATGATCTACATTTGTATTCTGCACTAATTTGTATTCTGCAAATTATGTTATACTCTCTGACGCTGTGTGCATGAAAAGGATGAACTATTTTTTGCTTCATCTAATATAGTTTTTATTTTATAATTAAACTTTTTATTTCGAGCTAGTTATAATTCAGATGCAGTTGTAAGAAATAGTACAGAAAGATTCCACGTCTTTACTCAGTGTCCCCCAAAGGTAATACCTAAAAAACTGCACTAGAATATCACAACTAAGAAAATGACCACGGATACAATGAGGAAACAAAACTCTTCCATCACCACAGAGATCCACACCACCTTTTCTCCATACTATGCCTTCTTCTTCACTCACCTATCCATAACCCTTATTCTCTATCTGTACAATTTTGTCATTTCAAGAATGTTATGTAAATTTAATCATACGAAATGCAATCTTTGGTAATTGGCTCTTCTAACTTAGCCTAAGTACTTTGAAGAAGTTTTGTATGCATCAATAGTCCATTCCTTTATATTGCTGAGTATTCCATTGCATGCCTGTAACAGCACTTACTTAATTATTCAATCATTGTGAGCCATATGGTTTTTATAGATTCTGGCTAGTATGAATAAGGCTGCTATGAACATTTTATATACAGGCTTTTGTGTAAATATAAGTTGTCATTTATGTGAGAGAAATGTCTACAAATGTAGTAACTAGATTGTATGATAGTAGAGTATTAAAAGAAACTGTCAGAGTCACCAGATGGCAGAATAAAAAGGTCTAAACTCTCATTCCTCACCATGGACACATCAGTTCAACAGCAACACACAGATAAATTTCCATCATTGGAAATCCAGAAACTAATGAGCCACTCCTGCACCCTAGGTAAGTGTGAAACTATCCATAGCAGAACTGGCAGGAAACAACTTGCACACACTGCAATATTAACCCCCAGTCCTCATATGATGCCATGTGGATGGGAAATAACTCCCATCTCTCAGCCTGTCCCTGAGGAGTGGATACCTAGAGAAGTTGTGATACCTGTCTGGTACTTCTCTAGGTATTACTAGAGGGATTGATTTCTTTTTTTTCTTATTAACCCCTTGGTTGAAGAGAGGAACTGTTTCTAACTTCCCTGTTTTGGTGAGCTGACAGGGCCCAGCATCTGTTAAACATCTGGAGCTATACAAAACAAAACAAGAGTTGTTTTTTAAATAGTAATTGTTATAGCCCTGTTACTTCAAATATTTTCAGGGCAGTTTTTAATAAGCATGTGGGTACTTTCACTGCTCCCCACTTTGGCTCAGTGCAGAGTGATAAAGACCAGCTTCCAGCTTCTCTCTGAAAAGCAAAGGAGACAGACCAAATAACTAGCCCCCCAGCTTTTCTGGCTGCTACCTGAGGAACTGGATTTTATCTCATGTGTCTGAGAGCACTGAAAGGATCTGGCATACTCTAGATACCTGAGGACTATTATGAACAAACACTGTGACTTGAACTACCATGAAAGTATAAGTGGTACTCAGAACTTCCATCTGGACTGGTTGGTAAAGGTGGTCTCCTGTATGAGACCTGTCTGTGAAGACTGGAAAGGAAGCTGTGTTATCTGGTGCACAGACACCAATGCCAAGAGTTAAAGAAAATAAAGAAATATGTTCCAAATCTTACCCACACAATAGGTAGGTTAGTGACTTGTCAAGTGTCAACCCCATGACCACAGCCAGGGAGGATTTAGCAAGAGTTCATCACTTGCAGAAAGTAAAAAGCACACTGGGCAAAGCTCCCAAAGCAATCCTTCCTCAAGCTGGGAGTTGAGTCAGGTTTTATAAGCATAGGGTAATGACACCATCTGGTTGGATCTTGTAATGAGGTGATGCTGGAAACTGTGCTCTCAATGGATCCTGCCATGGAGTGAGACCAGAGTTACATCCAGTTGGATCCTGGATCCTGCCACCATGTGCCCACTTCTTAATTCAGCCTCTGCACCTCAGTCTGAACAATTAGGTTTCCCCTGTGGTTGCATACTTGGTTCACCTGGCCATGCTCAGGTTACATGACCTGAGGGTCCATGACAACTGAAGAACAATTCCCAACTTTGTTACCATAAAAGCTGAACCATGTAAGTCTATTGCTGTACTATTCACAATAGCCAAGACATGGAATCAGTGTAGATGCCTATCAACAGTGAATTGGATAAAGAAAATGACCTATGGTCATAAGATGTCTACAGCTAAGGAAGTGTAGTAATGCCTGCAAGGACAAAAGAATGTCCAGATGTCCTAATGTCACATAACAGTACATGCTTTTAAGATATAGTCATACTTTGATGCACTGATGCATTAAAATGACAAAGATAAGTTTCTTTATATCAATGAAGTACTAAATTGTGTCACACTGACAGCCTACTCACATGTAGACATAATTTAGCTTTTATATATAAAAGAAGACTTTAAAACAAAGACAGCTTTCTGAGGATACCCTCCTCTGTAACTGAGTAGCTTTCAGTAAATCAGCTTTCAACTGATTTAGGTGAGTCTTGACAGTCCCAAAGTTAGTGGGTGTGGGCTTTCCAGGAACTCAGAGGATGGTGGCTCTCGTTTTACAGCTCTACCAGGTAGCATCCCAGTGGGGGATCTCTGCATTGCCCTAGTAGAGGTTCTTCAAGAGGGATCCACCCCTACGGCAGTCTTCTGCCTGGATATCCAGGTGTTTCCAGGTGTTATATACATTAATTATATATAACAAGTTATGACACATCTATAGGGAAATTCTGTAAAGAGTTTCTAATTTGGCAACTGTAGACATAACTCTTTGGCTTGCTACAAATCCATTTTCTGTCTGTATAGATGCTGGCACTACTGACTCCATTGTCATTCAGGTAGGCACATTCTCCAACTCCTCTGATAAGAAACCTAAAAACAAACACAAAAATATTGAATATTTGGAAGTTAGACACCTGCATTTGTTCCTCCCCATCATTATCTGCACCCCTCCATATTTTAATGTGAATAAGAGAAAAGCAAAAGCCTGTCATTAATATTGCTTCATAGTAATATAAACCATTTCTGTATTTAGTGTCTTTTATGTTCTCAAGGTCCTTGCTTGAAAATCACAAGCTTATCATTCATCCATACCAAGCCCAGCTATGTTGATAGGTATTTAACTGATGCTTGCTGCTGTACCCAAATGAACTGCTGCCACTGGTGGTCTTCAGTGAAGATGATTTCCAGTCTCCTGAACTGTTTCATAAATGTGTGAAAGTAAAAACAAACAAAAAAAACAGTAGATTCCTAAAAAGGCTTAGCTTTGATTAATGGATATGACTGGGTTCCTATATTTTATCTGCTGCAATGTGATGATTATATTCAAAATACCCCATTGAAATGTTCACAGTCCAAATAACTGTTACTAGTTTCCTTCTGGTGACAAAACTTTAGGAGTGAGAGATTCCCTTGAGTCCCCTGGATGCTTTCCTATTGTGAATGGATGCAGCAGCTGGAAGAGTGGGCTTAACAGCCTTGTAGATATCAGCTCCTCAGTGGTGTCCTACAATTGTAGAACACTTATTGTAAATCAATTATAAGTAGGGATTTCAGCAGTTTTAAATCAGTGAATTAAAGTGTAAAATTGTGTCAAATGTCATTGTTATGTTACTGAAATCACAGTTAAGTAAAGCTTTCCCAAAGACACAGTTAATAAATAGAAGAGTATAAAAAGGGTTTAGATTTCTTACCTCATATTGCAGTAAGCTTTCCATGATACATTTCTCATCTCATAAACACAACTCACACACATAACCACACATAAACAGAGCAGAAAGATAAGTCTCAAAACATACATGTTATTATATTCTGTGTTGTCTGTCCACCTCCAAATGTGATGGTATGATTCTCTTCTAAGGCCAATCCAGTGGTCAGAAGGGCCTTTGTATCTTTTCAGGAAATTCTATAATAAAACAGAAAGTAATACCATGTGTCCCTTTCTTCCACATTACTCTGGAGTCTGTCTTCCCTATCCCTTCTCTTTTTGACTGGCAGTGTGGTGTAATTAAGCAGCATATGCTCTGGAGTAAGACTAATTCCCAATTCTCAGTTTAAGTCATTTAATGTCCCTGATCCTAAATTACTTTATTTAAAGTGAGCATATATCCCAGTTTGATTGGGAAATTCCCAGTTTAAGCTTGTCATTCCACCAATATATTAATGCTCACTTTCAATACCCTATATGTCTTAATCTAGATGACAAATTATTTAATTATCTTAATTATTAATAGAATGAGAACAATACAACTCATCTTGCAGGTTCACCATGAGAATTACATGAGAAAATATATCTAAAATATCTCACAAGGTTCCAGGCAGAGAACACATCCTCAACAAATGTTGGACATGAAAACACATCTCATGCCCCTGGAATGGGATCGTTCCTTGTATTTCAGCTTTAACCCTATGCAGCTGACCTGCCTCAGGGACCTAAGTTATTTGACAGAAAACATGATTCAAAAGTATCTCTTACCAGTTCTTCCATAGTTGCAAACTGAGCAAGGCTGGCTTCTAATGAGACACAGAAGACTTGACTGAAAGTCCAATTTCTTGTGTCTTCAGAAAAATAAAAACATTTACTCCCAAATCCAATCCAGCTTTTTGGGCAAGCAGCATACTTATGTGACTCTATCACTGGCTTTTCTTCTCTTGCTAAAACTGAGACAATCACAATGAAACATAATAAATAAATTTTCTCATCCCTTTTATCTATTTTTCTGCTTACCTTCCTGAGGCCAATTTTGAAGTGTACACATGTGATTGTTGTTTTCCTAACTCATCACATAGAGCCTTATCCTAAGCACAACAGTCATCAGTCCAGTGGTTTTCAGCTGGGTACCTGCACCCTTGACTTTCTGAAGTTTACACTGACATTACAGTTTCAAGGAAATCAATTTCTATAGCATCAACTTCCATAGTACTGTACTTCACAAGGCCGTGTGGATGATTTTTCCATATCCTCCCTCATATTAGCCTTCCTTCCTCTTGACGAAGCCATTTGAGAACCTATTGCCTCTATATATAAGAGATGAGGGGTTTTTTTTTATGTATATAGTTCTTTTATGTATATAGTGCTTTCGTGCATTCTCAATCTGCTTAAGTAGAAGACACCAGTTCTTAAGGCCAGATGGTTTGTCTGAAAACATTTCAAGTAGAGATATTACTTTATTTTTAATAAAAATGACAATTCTTATAGGAATTTGTCAGGAAATAGCTCCGTAAGTGAAATTCCTATACCCATAGCTTTCTCATATCAATGAATGGCAAGTGCATTCTTGCCAAGGCTCAAAAGAAAAGAGACTTATCTTTTACTTTTCTCTTTTTAAGACTTCTTATCCAATTTGATATAAAATACTGTTGGCCCAGCTTTCAAAATATCCAGAATCTGACCACCCTCCCCCACCTAGTCCTAATACAGCAATCAAGTGATTATTCTACAATGGAAGTCACATCACGACATTCCTCTCATACACTTTTCCTCATCCAAGGCTCCCTATTACACTGAAGGTAAAAGTCTTTAACTGATCCTCAAGGTTCCTCCATTTCTAATGCCCATGGTATCACTCTTCTTCTTCATCCTCACTCTGCTTTACCTACAGAAGTCCCCTTGCTGTTCCTCAAACAAGCCAGGAAGAGTCCTCCTTTAGGCTTTTGGTCCACATGTTCTCTGTTTAGAATAGGTTCCCCAGGTAGCCACATGGTTCCTACATCTCTTTCAAAAGGTTGCTGAAATATCATCTTCCAAGGAGGCTTTGTCAACCTATTGCAACCTGTTACGCCTCCACCCTTATTTATTATTACTTGTGTTTTTCTGCTGGAATATAAGTCCCTGAAGAGCAGGGATTCTTTTGTGCGTATTTTGTTTGCTGATGTAATTCAAGCATTTCACACAGTGACAGGCAAATAATGGAGCTTAATAAATATTTATTGGCAACATAAACATGTAAATAACATTGTACAGTTTGTAGAACAAGTAGCTTACCTGACAAAACAATAGAAAGTGCAACCACACTTGTAGTCAGAACTGCAATGATGAACAAGCAACAATAAACCTTGATAGGAGTTACCGGAGATATAAGTGCTAGGCATTTTCTCTGCAGAGTTCTACCTGTAAAATACAAATATTAGAATCTCAATCTCAGGAAGATCATAGGGAGAAAATGTATCATACAATCAACACAAGCTTAGCTGTACTTCAACTCTCCTATTGCCAACTCCTCTCACAAAAGGTCTTGGATCAAAAATAAGAAAAATGGCCCAAAGAGGGATAGAGACAAAAATCAAATTCTCCCCATCATCAGGGAATCTTCCAGTTATTGGAAAAAGTAGAAATTGGGATGAAAAACAAACATACACAATCCAGATTTAGTCCCGTAGTAAAACAGCTGGTTAGAAGCAACAAGGAAAACAGAAAATGAATCAGTGTAATTCACCATATTAATAGAATGAGAAAGGTACAACATATGAGTATCTGAATAAATGCAGCAAGAGCATGTGAAAAACTTAATATCCATCCACGATAGTAGTCTCAACAAATTAGAAACTGAAGAATCTTCTTCAACTTGATAAAGGGCATCTACAGAAAAACTACAGCTAGCACAAAACTTGATACAAGAATGAATTCCAGTGACAAGGAATAAGGCAAAGATGTCTGCTCTCTCTAACCAATCCAATTTAACATTTTGCTGGAGTCCTATTAGGACAAAAAGATAAGAAAAAAGAAAGAAATGTCATACAGGTTCAAAAGAAATAAAATTGTTGCTGTTACAGACAACATAGTTGTCTGCATGTAAAATTCTAAGAAATCTACCAAACTATTACCAGAATAAATGAATTTGGCAAAGTTACAGGATTAGCTATGTTAACATATAAAAATATATTTCCAGATATTTGTAATTATGAAGTGGAAATTTAAGTATAAAAACATGCCATATATAATAACACAAAAGACTATTATAAATATATCAAAATATGTTTAGGATCAGTATGATGAAAGCTACAAACCAAAGGGACAAAGAAATCAAAGCAGACTTGAACCAACACAGAGACATAAGATATTCATAGACTGTAATATGCAATATTCTGTATGTGAATTATACCCAAAAAGGTTTAGAGAGTCAGCACAACCCTGATAAACAATGCAGTATACATTTTTTTTGTAGAAACAAGCAAAGTAATGTTAAAATTATATGGAAAAGCAAAGAACTAGAATAGCTAAACAATTTTGAAGTAAAAATGGCCAAATTTGGAAATCAAAGAACCTGCGTTCATAATTGACAAAGTAATAGAAACAAAGACAGTATGATATTGACAAAAGAACAGACACATAAATCAATGGAACAGAAAAAAGATTGCAGAAACAAATCCAAATATGTATGATCACTTGATATTTGACAGAAGTGGAAAGTAATCAGGCAGGTAAGGGGTAGTATTTTCTGAACATGTAATGCTGGAACAATTGAGTATACTAATGCAAAACAGTGAACCTCGACTCACACCTAATACCTTATAAGAAAATTAACTCAAAATAAATCTCAGACTCATATAATAACACCCCCAAACCTAAAACTATTCGAAGGAAAGAGGAAAATAAAATATTTGCAAACTTGAATTAGGCAAAAATTTCTTAGATACAATACCAAAAGTATTATCAATATTTTAAAAATTGATAAATTGAATTTAAACATAATTAAAACTCTCTATGAAAAAAAACCTTGAAAGGGTAATAAAAAGACAAGCAAAGGCAGAAAAACAGCTTTCTAAAAAGCGACTTGTATCTAGAATATATTAAGAACTCAAAACTTGACCATAAGAAAACTAAAATTTTAGAACACTAAAATTAAAAATGGAGCCAACTATTTGGAGATACACTTGATTAAAGATATGAATGGCAAATAAGTGCATAAAAACATGCTTGAAATAACCAGTCATTTGAGAAATACAAATTAAAACCGTAATGAGTGACTACTACATGCTTATTAGAGTGGAAAACAAAAAAGAAGCAAAACCAACTGCTGGTGAGGAAGGAATGTGATATGGTTTGGATCTCTGTCCCCACCCAAACCTTATGTTGAATTGTAATCTCCAGTGTTGGAGATGGGGCCCGGTGGGAGGTGATGGGATCATGGAGGTGGATTTCCCTCTTGGTACTGTGTGGCAATAAGAGTGAGTCCTCTTGAGATCTGGTTGTTGAAAACTGTGTGGTACTCTCCCCCGCTCCCTCTCTTCTTCCCACTCTGGCCAAGTGAAGTGTGGACTCCCCCTCTGCCTTCTGCCATGAATTGTTAAGTTTCCTGAGGCCTCTCTAGAAGCTGAGCAGATGCCAGAATCATGTTTCCTGCCCAGCCTGTGGAATGGTGAGCCTCTTTTCTTCACAGATTACTCGGTCTCAGGTTATTTCTTTATAGCAGTGCCAGAATGGACAGGATGCAACTGGAATTTTCATGCATCATGACTGGAAACACAAAATGTTATAGGCACTCTGGAAAACAGTTAAGCAGTTTGTTAGGATAAATGTAAATGCACCACATGCCCTGGCCATCCTATCCCTAGGTATTTAAACAAGGAGAGTAAAAACGTGTTTACCCAAAAACCTGCAAGGAGTATTTACATCAGCTTCATTCATTATCAGAAAAACTAGCAAGAACTCAAATATGCTTCAGCTGGTGAAGAGGTAAACAACTATTCTTCAGCCCTAATAAAAGAAAAAATTGAATCACACATTCACAATTGCCCATTTCTTACTGTGTGTGAGCTGGCCAAACCTTTGTCAAGTTTTTCTCCTCCTGACAGACCCCAAATGGGTTTGCCTGCAAGTTTGCCTAACAAGCCCCAAAGCACAGACTTGAAAAAACATCCTGCCTTACCCTGACTACAAAACACCATTTCCTGTTGAAATCCCTAGACTTTTTCCCCTGCTCTCTCCCACACCATTAACATATTTTCAAAATCAATGTTGCTTCTATTACAACAGTCCTTTCGAATAAAGTTTCTCCCTATCTAAGCTCAGACTTGTTTTTCTTTGACAAATGACACATACTATAATAAAGATGACTTGCAAATATATTATTGCTAAGTGAATAAAGTCAGATTCTACATTTACCTACTGCAGGATTCTGCTGATATGACATTCTGGAAAAGCCAAAGTGCAAGAACAAAAAACAGATCAGTGGTTGCCAAGGGCTGGGGGTAGAGGAAGAGACATTCTACACAGGAGCATGAGGGAATCCGGAGTGGGTGGGTATGGCTCGATAGCTTGACTCTGATGGTATTACATGAATATATGTTTATCAAAACTCATAGAAATGTACACCAAAAGAGTGAATTTTACTGAATATAAATTGTAGTATTTTAAAAGTCCCTGCCAACTTTCTTTCGTTTAACATACATCTCCAAGAATAACAAAGAGCTTCAGCTTAGATTCTAGACAGGGAAAAAGATGGGTACGATTGGATGATCTTAAGCAGTAAATATTGTTTGGATTTTTGCTCATATAAAAATCTCAACCTTTATTCTTTCTGGTTCCACACTAATGCAAAATTGTCTTAAAGGTTCAGAATACTAAGACTTCCATAATTCTTTTTCATTCTTACTAAGCTAATATGCAACTCTCCCCTTAAAATTTCCCCCAAATCTCCCATTTGCCTCTCTTACTAACCTTCTAAATGTCCCTAGTACTCTTCTCCTTTTTTACATCTCTGGCTCCTCCAGCTAATACTGAGACAGCCAGGTGGGAAGGGGTCCCTAGAGAAACTCCAACCAGCCTGCCCACTGAGGTGGAGCCTTGGGAAGTTCACAAGGTTTACAGCAGGAATGAGCCTGAGCCTGGCCCCCCTTTCTCCTGTGTGGAACCTGGGATTCAAACTGCCAGGTGGAAAGTGCTCCAGCAGAGGTCCTCTGGCCTTGCCAGAGTACCTGTTTCCCCCTCTTTTTCCCTTATTCACCCAATAAAACCCTGCTTCACTCACCCTTTAAACCATTTGCAAGCCTGAATTTTCATGGCTGTGGGACAAAGAATCTCGTTTTTAGCTGAACTATGGAAAAGCCTTACAACAATATTCCCGCATGCATCTTGTTTCATTTCTCTCTCTTACTCACTTATTTCTCTTCTGTCTTTGTTATGGTGTGTCCTGACTCCTGCAAATTCATGTCACTCTTAAAGTACACACTGAACACAATACCCTTCAGATTTCTAATTGGAAAAACAATATTATGCCTCAGAGGAACTAAGAAATAAACCATATTACTGGTAAAATTTTAACTCAGTTTCAGGATCCAAAAACAACACAATGCATCTTAAAAAACAAGTTTGACAACTGCACCAAGTAGCAAATATTTAGTTTCAGTTCTGTAAATATTTTGCTTAGTTAGTTTCAGTTCTGGAAACATTTGAGTTAGTCCATACAATCTTTAGAACATTTCTGTTTAAATAAGAACTCTGCGGAGAGTCAGGTCCAGCAGAGTTTGGAGGAAAAAAAAGTACCCTGTTTTCTATGAAATGCAGTATCCTGAACTCCTGAATAAAAGTTAATTTAATAAATAAAATTGAGGGAGGAGGAGAGAATGAAAGGGAAAAAAAGAATGAAATAACTGTTTTTTCAAAATCAAAAGAGTATCCTTTACTTTCAAAAGTAAAGGTATCCTTTCTGCTGTACTGAAGCTGTACTTTTGGTTTTTGAAAAGCAAAAGAGGTTCAGTAAAAGGTATCCTTTCCACTGTACTGAAGCACAAACATACACCCATTACGCGGTTGTTCTTAGAAAATTTGCCACATATTAAAATGCTAAAGGGTTTGCTGGTGGGCAGGGTCCGCTTCTCACTCTTACCCTCAAATCTCCACATCTCTTTTTAATTACAAAGGATCTATAAATCAAAAGCCATGGATAAATAAATGAAAAGCCCCCATGTTTGCAGGGCAACACCTAACAAAAATAGCACTAACAATATAGACACAAAGAACATTTTTTCCTTCATCTTCTTATAATCTAATTCATTGTTCATTTCTCTTACCCCAGAGATATTTAAGTAACATACACAGTACAATAACTGATGTAGCAATTACACATCTATTCTCCAAACCATCCCTATTGCAAACATATCACTTCTACAGAGACTAGCAAGTGCTAATGCTCCTAAAACCCAGCTTCCTTCATGCTGTAGTGGAAGAAAAGTTGCCTCTATTTTTTCAAATGCCATCAATTACATTACCAGATTCTCCCTCTTCCAAGCCATCTCTGAATGCAAGGTCTATTTTTAACATTTTCTGTGAAGTCTCTGCAGCTGTCATCTTGTAGCTTAGCAGAACAGATTAGAAAATGCCTTTAGAAAGGAAGCTGAAACTGAGCCGTCAACGGTTTGGTATCTGGTGACGTAGAAATGATTTGCCTAACTCTTATTATGAACTCATGGAATGTTCTGGATAAGCAAATAATTCAAATAGTACCAGATGTGAGGAGATAATTCAAAGATTATCAGATTCAGGGATAAAAGTGGACACAAGGAAAAAACCTTATAGATATCACTAAACATCCACTATTAATGGCTAAAACAAAAGACTAATACAAATATTTTTAGGGGAATATGCTACTACTGGAACTCTAATACACTGCTGGTAGGAGAACAAATCTAACAACTGTGTAATACTCTCTGACATAACTACTAAAGTTAAACATAACCAAATCCTGATCTAGTAATTCTACTCCTATTTCCCCATGAAACACACATATATACACAAAAGGGCATGCACAAAGTGGTCATAATAGCATTACTTGCAGCAAACCTGGAAACTCAAATTCCCATTCCCCTTGTAATGGGAATTTGAATGAGTCATATTGCATATTAATGGAGACATATTGCATATTAATACTATGAATATACAACAATAAACAGGAAGAAATTCCTACTATAGGCAATGCCTTGGATGAACTCAAAAACATAGTATTTAGCTCAAGAACTCAGACACTACTGCATACATCTTGAACTGTTACATATATAAAGTTAAAAACAGACAAAAGTAATCTGTGAAGATTCTTTTGTGAAACAAGAAGGAAAAAGGTGACTGGCAAGGGTCCAAGAGGGTTTGACACTGCTGGTAAACTTCTATTTCATAAGAAGAGTAGTGGTTGTATGGATGGTGCTCACTTTGTGAGAATTAAGCATACACTTGTGATATATAACTGTTCACTATGCTAAATAAAAAATATTTACTGAATAAATATATTTGTGCAGAAAACAATACCTGTATTAAAAAAATAATAAAATAGCACACATTAAATGCATCAGAATGGGTACCTGCCTGTAGGGGGTTGGGAAATAGGACTAAAAAGAGAATACATAACTAAGAAAGGCTATAGAAAGGTCAATGAGGACAGTGTGGCATCAACTCACTCTGTAATTTACACACCAAATGTAGTATCTGTGGTCTAAATCCCTTAAGCCACAGATGGCATGGCCTGTCTGGGAGAACTCCCTTCTTGTGCCCCTCAAAGTTCTGCAAACTCTGACAGAGAGGGCAGGTCAGAAATGGGACTAAAAATAGAATACATAAAATAAGAAAAGCTATAGGAAAGTCAGTGATGCTAGTAGGACATCATCAACTTGGTCTATAATTAACTTGCCAACTGCACTACCTGTGGTCTAAGTGGAGGGCAGAGAGTGTCTTTCCTTGGGAGAAAAATGAGGGGGTGATGGCACTTTTACTGAATCTTAAAGGAAGAGTAAGATTTTGAGAGATAAAATTGAAATGAAGTTATTTCAGCTATAAGGAGAGAGACAGAACAATAATTCTCTACCTTGCCTACACATGTAAATCACTAGCATGATTTTAAAAGCAATTATAAAGTACAACCGACTAAATCAGGATCTCTGGGGGTGGAATTTGAACTTCCACATTTTCTGAGAAATCCCTCTTCCAAATGACACTTAAAGAAAGCCTGTGTTGAGAATCACTGGTATAGAGTACCTGAAGAAAAGTGTAAAAATTGGTAACAATGATATTACAAAGGTAGGTTAGTGACAGTAAATGGCCATGGATATAGCCACGGGGGACCCATGAAAGTAGCTATGCAATGGGGGTATTAGTAATCAACACTGTAATTTAGAAGGTTTAGTGGAGCACTGCTTCCAGGACAGAAAAAAAAGAAAGAAAGAAAGAAGTGTATGCCTTTGCAGGACTAACAAATTAGCTACAATTAGAAATTACAGTTTAGGGGCCATGCAGTCTCTGGCTAACAGCTAAGAGCACCGTGTTACAAAAACAGTGGCACACCTCCTTTAAAAACAAGTTTCCCCAAGAAAGGTGGGAAGAAAATATGGGGCTCACGCCAGCTGCAAAAAGATGCCTATCTTCCAAATAAAATGCCAAGCCTTCTCGAGATCACAGCATGTGCACGTTTCCACCCCAGGCTGGACGAACAAATTGGATCTGAGGGAGTTGTGTGGGGAGAGGGCGACTGGGTGGCCCTAAAGCAGGCCACTAGGATCCCCTGTTTCCCTTTCCCTGTCCTTTCAAAAGCCCGTAAGCCACAGACACCCGTGGCCTGTCCAGGGGACACCACTTCTCAGGTCCCCCAAAGTTCTGCAAACCCTGATGACAAAGGCAGGTCAGAGGCCCGTGACATGTGGGGAGGCATCGGACAGATTTTTCCTCCATCGCCTGGACGGAACGGATGCTCACCCAACTGAGAAGGCCCTGGCGCGGTCACACTGGGTAAATCGAGGCGAAGGCGCTTTTTTCCGCGTTTTTTGGCGCTCCTGGTGCCGGCTTCTCCTTTACCCCAAGGCAGAGCGCTGCAGAAATGGCTGGGAAGCAGGAAGGGAGGAGTGTTGCGGCTGCGGGATTCGCGGCTACGACTAAGCGGGCGCCCAGTGGGCTTCTAGGCTCTCTGGCGCTCACTCGGACCCCCACCTACGGAACCACTTCCGGTCCCCGCGCCGACCCGGGCCCCCACCTACGGAATTCCTTCCGGTCCCCGCGATGTCCTGGCCTCAAGTCCGCACCGCAGCCCCGGGGATGGGGGAAGGGGCGGGAGGCGAGACTGCGCCCAGCAAGGCCCCACCTCCCCAGTGCTCCTGAGAGATCTGCTTGGGGCTGGATCCCCTGCCTTCCATTTCCCCGGCAGCCGCTGGCGCCTGTGACGCGAGCAGGAAGCCCAAATCGACAGGAAGGTAATTCCTGGACTACCTGTCTCACCTGCAGCAGGGACGTGACCGTCCTCCAACTGGGAGCGCAAGTCCGGGTCTGGTGGATCCCTTTTCTGGTGATAAGGACACAGAGGATGCCCTTGTCCCATGTCCCTCATTTGGAGGCAGAGCCCAGGGATTAGGGGGAACCCAGTGGAGGCCTCGACCCAGAGCCGATTCCCACCCTGGGGCACAGGAGCGTTTTAGGTGATGAAACTATTCCATGTGTAATGGTGGATATGTTATAGGAGCGGAAAGAAATCATTTCGGTTGACAGGGTAAAACGAGTCTCAGGTAGAAAACTTAACAAAAAGCAGCTCAAAAATAGCTCCCTTTCTAACCTCATGCAACTCAAAGAAATCACTTCTAACAACAAGCAGCCTGAAAGAGCAGACAGTAAAACACAAATAAGACAGCTCAGACACAGAAGGACTGGGGCGGGTTCAGGTAGTCTCCCGGGTAAATCACCAAGCTTCACACTTACACGGTGGACCCCAGTAAAACAGTAGGTCATAATAAGCACGTTCCTTTCCCTTTAGGCGTACCAAGATGCCTGCAGCTGCAAGATGTAGGGGAACAGAAGCAGAAACTCTCCCTCCCAGATAAGCAGGACCAAAAAACACGGACTAAGAGTCTATGTGGTCAGGGAATGGGATAAGAGCTGATAAAAGACTGCTCGGGGCCGGGCGCGGTGGCTCAAGCCTGTAATCCCAGAACTTTGGGAGCCCGAGGCGGGTGGATCACGAGGTCAAGAGATCAAGACCATCATGGTCAACATGGTGAAACCCTGTCTCTACTAAAAATACAAAAAATTAGCTGGGCATGGCGGCGCGTGCCTGTAATCCCAGCTACTCGGGAGGCTGAGGCAGGAGAATTGCCTGAACCCAGGAGGCGGAGGTTGCGGTGAGCCGAGATCGCGCCATTGCACTCCAGCCTGGGTAAGAAGAGCGAAACTCCGTCTCAAAAAAAAAAAAAAGACTGCTCTGTTCATGTAGTACACCTGGTTCCAACTAAACCCTGGGGCCCTAGGAGGATAAGACATCCCCTGCTCACAAGCCCCTTCCTCACTAGCTCATTTATAAAAACACTGACATTTTTACTACAACTTAGCAGTAGGCTCAGGACCCCTCTTTGTAATAGAGACCTGTTTTTCCTTTTGCCTATTTGACTCCTGCTCCAAACTCACTCTGTGTGTGTCCAAGACCTCAACTTCCTTGGCCTTGAGACCAAGAATCTTGGTTTTTACCCCAGGCAACGAGGCTGCTTCAGATACATCTCATACATTTGTCAAACCCACAGAATATACAACAGAAAGCTGGAACCCTGAAAGATGGACTTACTCATAATGTATCGGTATTTGTTCATCCAGACAAATTGTACAACACTAATGGGAGACATTAATAACAAGGGAAATTGTGTAGGAGGAAGAAATGATAAATGAGAATTCTGCACTTGCCCTCGATTTTTCCACAACTATTCTAAAATAATATTATTAATTATTTTTAAAATGCAGATGACTTTTTGTCAGTGTTACGATTGTTTTTAGCTGTGACATAGAAACCTATAATCATCCTTCAATGTAACTTATAATTTGTTGCCACATGCAAATAAAAAAATACACATATATATCCTGCACCACTGGATATAGTAAGATTAAAATTTTCTTACATGATCACGAAACAGCCTTGATCACATTTTAGAAGTAGTACCTTCTGCATATGGATATCCAGTGTTCCCAGAAACATTTATTGAAGAGACTGTCCTGTCCACAATGAGTGTTTTTGATATGTTTGTCAAAAATCAGTTGACTGTAGATACATGGATTAATTTTTGGGTTCTCTATTCTGTTCCATTGGTCTATATGTCTTATTCTAGTACCATACTCTGTTAGTCCAACTGCTCATGATAAAGACGTACTCAAGACTGAGTAATTTATAAAGAAAAAGATGTTTAATAGACTCACATTTTCACATGGCTGGAGAGGCCTCACAATCATGGCAGAAAGCAAAAGGCACATCGTACATGGCAGTAACCAAAACAGAACTTGTACAGGGAAACTCTGCTTTATAAAACCATCAGATCTCATGAGACTTATTCACTATGATGAGAACAGCACAGGAAAGACCTGCCCCATGATTCAATTACCTCCCATCGGGTCCTTCCCATGACACATTGGAATTGTGGGAGCTACAACTCAAGATGAGATATGACTGGGGACACAGAGCTAAGCCCTATCACTCCATCCCTGGCCCCTCCCAAATCTCATGTCCTCACATTTCAAAACCAATCATGCCTTCCCAACAGGCCCTCAAAATCTTAACGCATTTCAGCATTAACTAAAAAGTCCACAGTCCAAAGTCTCATCTGAGACTAGGCAAGTCCCATCTATGAGCCTGTAAAATCAAAAGTAAGTTTGTTACTTCATGGCCAGGCTTCACAGAGCCAAGAATAAAATCTTATTTTCACATTTAGAGGAAAACACAAGAAAAGTCAGCAAATGAGACACTGGCCGTTGAAGTGGGAAGAATGGTAGAATAATGTATTTTAGGAAGATATAAGGGAAAGACACTGAACAGGGGTTACTTTGTTTATAGGTTTACTTTTCAGTGGTTTCAAGTGTAGAGGAAAAATATCCATATTTCTCAATTACACTTATTATTTTCTAATAATGAGACGTAAGGAATGCCTGCAGTATGCACGTAACTAATACAACAACCTTATTGTATTTGCATCTCTGTAGGTTATTCTCAAAGAAGATTTGCATTGAACAAAGTTAAATAGTCAAGGACGACTTTATTCAAAATTGTTGCAATAGGGTCAAGCCTGTTTCAATAGGGAAGGGAGACTGTATTCAACTCTGTTGAACAAAAGGCAGGACAGTTTGTAAAGCCTGGCATATGCTAGTGAAAAAGTCCTGGAGAATGTTAGTGGGGAAGGTGGGTCAACATGATGAGGCCATTTGTATTTGCTAACGGGCACATATGGAAGTAAGAGTCCTACCCTCCCACAGAGATGGGGAGATGAGGGAACTATTTTTCTTGATTATTATTTTTCAAGGAAATGGCACCCAGTTTTTTGAGAAAGGTATTTCTGGGCCGTAAAACTGATAAAGGCTAGAGAAAGATTTAAATATTAAATAAGAAGAAAGAATTTATAGTGGGAAGATTTTTTTTTTTTAATTTTTTTATTGGATTTTAGGTTTTGGGGTACATGAGCAGAGCATGTAAGACAGTTGCGTAGGAACACACATGGCAGTGTGCTTTTCTTTCCTTCTCCCCTTCACCCACATTTGGCATTTCTCCCCAGGCTATCCCTCCCCACCTCCCCCTCCCACTGGCCCTCCCCTTTTCCCCCCAATAGACCCCAGTGTCTAGTACTCCCCTTTCTGTGTCCATGTGTTCTCATTTTTCATCCCCCACCTATGAGTGAGAATATGCGGTGTTTCATTTTCTGTTCTTGTGTCAGTTTGCTGAGGATGACATTCTCCAGATTCATCCATGTCCCTACAAACGACACGAACTCATCATTTCTGATTGCTGCATAACATTCCATGGTGTATATGTGCCACATTTTTCCAATCCAGTCTATTATCAATGGGCATTTGGGTTGATTCCAGGTCTTTGCTATTGTAAACAGTGCTGCAATGAACATTCGTGTACATGTGTCCTTATAGTAGAACGATTTATAGTCTTTTGGATATATACCCAGTAATGGGATTGCTGGGTCAAATGGAATTTCTATTTCTAAGGCCTTGAGGAATCGCCACACTGTCTTCCACAATGGTTGAACTAATTTACACTCCCACCAACAGTGTAAAAGTGTTCCTTTTTCTCCACATCCTCTCCAGCATCTGTTGTCTCCAGATTTTTTAATGATCGCCATTCTAACTGGCGTGAGATGGTATCTCAATGTGGTTTTGATTTGCATCTCTCTGATGACCAGTGACAATGAGCATTTTTTCATATGATTGTTGGCCTCATATATGTCTTCTTTCGTAAAGTGTCTGTTCATATCCTTTGCCCACTTTTGAATGGGCTTGTTTGTTTTTTTCCTGTAAATCCATTTGAGTTCTTTGTAAATTCTGGATATCAGCCCTTTGTCAGATGGGTAAACTGCAAAACTTTTTTCAGGAAGATTTCTAAAGTAAATCTAAGTAAAGGATCTGTAGTCAGGAAGAAATCTGTCTGTTTAGTCAAGTTGAGGGGAACATCAAGGCAGTCTTGTTCATCCTACACATGTATAAAACCTTGTTCAGTTACCTTGACATTAACTCACCCTCAAAATTCTTGCAAACACATAACAGAATATTTTATTTAAGTTTTCAAAGTCTAAGCAATGTGGATAACATTGTGTTGAAAGCAGCTAAAAGGCTCCTAGCAAAGCAACACAATAAATATTGGTTTAATCTACTTGAATTTAGCCAGACCACTCAACTAAGAGCAGAACTACCTTTTTAAGAATTAAGCCCAGCCGTAGGCAAAATTACTTAGAAGACAGCATTTTGCTTCAGTTCTTCTCCATATATCCTGGTATTTCTGGTATTATAACAGCCCGCAGCAGTACCACAGATTGTGAAAGAAGCCCGAATTTGGGAGTTGGGAAAGAGTTCAGTCTTCCTCTTTACTAATCTATACAGTAAAGAATATCTACCTAGCAAATACAAGTATTGGTACATCCAATGAAATAATGTGGATTTAAACATTTTACCAATTACTTTCTGACTTCAGTACACAGGTGAACCCACCAAAAAAAAGGGGGGCATTGCAGCGCCCTCTTCTGGGTACTGTTGGTAAATTAACTCAGATAGTTGAAATGGATTTTCTAGGTGAATACGAAAGTTTCACTCTAAGAATAACTGCTCCATTTTTAAAAATATATTTTAAAAATTATATATTTTTACATATAAAAATATATAATATTGAAATGTGCAAGCAAACATCAAATTCAAACGTGTAAAGAGAAACACCGGTGTTTCTTTTCCTCAACCCTTATCCACACACGCATTTGTGCAGCCCAGGGAACCTCAGAATGAAAATCAGAAAATAATTTATCAAGAATTCATGTCACCTACAGCAGTAGTTCTAAAACTTTAATGCACCTATAAATTACCTGGAGATCTTTTTAAACTGCACATTCATATTCACTGGGTCCAGGATTCTGCATTTCTAACAATCTCCCAGGTGAGGCCTACACTGATGGTAGCATGACTGAAATCACCTTTACAAAAGTTGTAGCAGTGAGAACATAGCTACCCAACAGATTCAC